TACTTATATTATAATTATAATATTATGTTATTAAAATAATTATAATATCATATTATATGATAAAATAATAATATTATAGTTATTAATATAATTATGATATTATTTGTTATAGTATTACTATTATATTATATTATATTATTGTATTATTATATTATATTACGGTATTATTATATTATATTATGAGATTAAATTTTAGATCGGAAAGATTGTAAATTTTAAATTTCATTTGAGGTATTATGGGTATGATGAAAGCTTCATTAATTATACTATGTTGATTCCCGCACAATCTAAAAGCTAAAGTTGCATTTGGACTGCTTTTGATTTTGACTGTAGATTCTTCAAAAATTCTTCAAAAAGTACTTTTGAGGATATTTACTAAACACTAAAATCAGCTTTTGGTACAAGCAGAAGTTGATTTTAGGAGTGAAAAGTAATACCAAACGCAGCCTAATTATCTATGTTGTGCAGTTTTAGACAATCAGACCACATTATAATTATATGAGAATAAAAAAGAAAACAGTGTTAGTATTATAATTTTATTAAGATATGATGATATATATGAAAGAGAAATGCTAGTGTTATTTTTTTCACTTTTGGTCACTTTATGTATTTAATATTTGACACATAGGCTTAATTAATATAATATATTATTATTTAGACAAAAAATAAGACAGTGAAGCTCAAATATCAAACAATTATTATGGCAAAAAGAGTAAAAAAAAAAGAGGCTAATATTTCTCCTAAACAGAATATCGAAAAGTTCCCCCAGTTTGAAAAAGAAAAATAGAGATAGAGAGATTCCAAGAACTGCCTAACTCCATCCCTTTGGATTCTCTTACTGGCAAGGTGGCAGATCGCTCTCTACAGTACGTGTGCAATAAGGGACCTTCCAGGCCATATTATAGGCTAAGGCCCCATGAGTTGATTATCCTGGATAAAGTTTTGGGAAATTTTATTGACACCTCGTAATTTTATTAAGGCACCTAAATATGTTTAAAAATTTTAATTATTTTCTTTTTAAAACTAAAACTTTTTATAATTTCATAAATACCCTATGTACAGTATATATTCTTTCACTTTTAAAAAACGGTTTCTTAAAAAATTCACTTTCTTTATTTTTTTTGTTGAATCTTTTCATTTAATGCATTAAAAAAAAAAAAACTCCATTGCATCTTTCTTCTCCACGTAATTTGTGAAGTTGAAGAACAAAAATGCAGATAGTTTTCAATTTTTTTAAGTGATATTATTAAAATCATCTACCTTAACTATTTTCCCTAAATTCTAATAAAATTTTTTTAATTCAGCAAGTAATTATGTATGTTTTTTTTCTCTCTCTCGCTTGTGTTTTGTTTTATTGAAGTTGTTGGTTTTGATTTTTTATTTTTAATTATATTTTGCAAGACGAAGAAGATGAACGCATTAAGAATTTTTACTCAAATTCTATGGTGATAATAGAATAGTTTAGTCATGTGAGCATAATCAAGAAATTTGAAAGAAAAAAAAATGTAATGTTGTTAAAATAAAACAAGCAAAAAGGAAAGAAAAGAAAAAAAAAATGGTTACAAAAAAAAAAAAAAAAAGGAATCGTTCAAGTTCAAATAAAAATTGCAAAAAGGAAAGAAAAGAAAAAAAATGATCAAGTTTAGGAAAAATAATATTATCTCATCAAGTTTAAATGGGAAGAATCATATCTTACCCAAATATAAAGGAAATGTAAATCTTTTTAAGAAACAAAATTTTAAAAGTAGAAAAGTGTGGGGTATACATGAGGGTAACTTTAGAACTACAAGAGATTATAATTTTAAAAAGAGAATAATTAGAATTTTTAAATATATTAGGGTGCCTTAATAAAATTTTGGTGTCAATAAAATTTCCTTAAAAGTTTTAGACATCTTGGGATTTCAACTTTCTTGGCCCGTTTCAGGGAAATGGACATGGGCTCACTGTACAGGGCGGCAATACTTCTTGAAGGAAACTTTGGTCGCTGGAGAATGATTTTTTAGATTATCATCAATAATCTACCGGATATCCTCGGAACCAATAGTGACCGCAAATTCCCAGTGACTCAGAATAATTTACTAGGTTATAATTAATAATCTACTAAATTATTTTCTTCTCGACTTAGATCAATAGTCATCTTCGGCATTGGACTTTGAATCATAAACTTGTAAATTAATACCAAAGAATTGACTCGATAATTTGTCACTGATTCACCAATTAGTGATTAACAAATTTCAATCATTAATTTATCCGTTTATCATTGATAAACCATAGTATATCATTGATTGATCACCATAAAAAATTACCATTTACCTAAAAAGAAAGTTACACTCTTTACTTGAAATAAATGGGGAAAAAGAGACAAATTATTTTAGAGTTTATGAGTGTGAATTTTTATTTTTTACTTTTAATTAATACTCTTTTTAATTAAATAACTATATTAATCAAATTGACATTAATCATGAATAAAGAATAAAAATTCAGACTCACACACTCTAAAAATAATTTTAATAATTTTCTCAAAGAAATTCAAATATTAATTAAAAAAAATGGCCCATCAACCATTCATTTAGAACGTATAAGTTTAAATTTTTACCCTTATGCTCTTAATTATTCTTTTAACTTAATATCTATGTTGGACAAAGGGTTTAAATAAAAAAAAAATAGAGAAAGAGAGAAATAGACTAAGACTTGAGATGAATTAAAATTAATAGGTCAATAGTTTACATAAGTTAATAAATATGCTAAATTACTATTTTCGTCAATAACTTGTCTGATTATGAATCATAACTTGACAAGTTATTGATTATGAACCATAACTTGACAAGTTATTGATTATGAACCATAACTTGACAAGTTATTGTCCATAAAACTCACGATTTTTGTCCATAACTTGTTTGGTTATAAACCATAACTTGATAAATTTATCCATAACTTATCTGGTTATGAATCATAATTTATAAATTATGATTTATTAATTTTTATAACTAAAAATTAGCATATATACTTTCTTAAATTTTTTATATTGATCTAATTTTTACTATTTCTGTAAAAAAAAAAAAATAAGGGTGACAATGCAATGTTCCAAATTCGTCGTTAAAAAGAGAAGGGAAAGAAATGAAGGGAGAGAAACATTTGCCAATTTGTTGTCCACATTCTTCTCCTCTTATCACGAGTCCTGCAAACAACAACAACATGCTCACCTCAGTTCACCATTCCGCTAGCTCACTCTTCTTCCCCCGGCCTTCGTACCATACCAAACACGGTTCTCTCTCTCTTGTTTACTAGTTTGTCATTTAACATAATAATCTTAGTGGGATATAAACTTACTCGTTTCAGTATTTGTTTTCTTGCTTTCCATTCTGCTAACTTCTAGAGAAAAATACTGCAAAAAAATCGTAAATTTGATCTCTTGGATAATGTTGACGTTATCAGAAACTGGGCTGTGGAATACTTTGAGAAAATCAAGACCAAGGCACAGGACAATGGCTTGTTTTAGGAGCAACAAAGATAATCCGGAACCAGGTTCTCCGTTTGGAGAGCGGCTTTATCTTGGGATGGACTTTGGAACATCAGGGGCAAGGTTTGCTCTCATTGACAAACAAGGCACAATTCATGCTGAGGGAAAGATTCATGGTAGGTATAATTTTTTATTTTTTATTTTTGATGGGTTTGAACTTGTTGCGAACAATGTAAATATGTGATAGTGAATTGATGCCATAAAATGTTCATAGGCATTGCCTATGCTAGTTGAGTGATTAAGGGCTAGTTTGATAGGGCCCTGAAAGTTCTTTACACATAACATGACGCAAGTAGCGTATCTGGTAAAAGTGGTACTTTGCACATACACCAATGTTTTTTGTTTATTTGGTACATAGATTTGAACAGGAATTCAAATTTTTGTTAGAGAAAACACTTTAACAAAAATGTTTGAATTATAGTTCAAACCTATGGAACAAACAGGCTGCATTTTTAACTTTTGTATTTTGCTTCTACTTCTCCATTTGCTATAAGTAAAAGTAGAAACTTCTTTCTAAAGCAATACAATCGTAAACTAAGCTTAAGCCTGTGGTTTGCTCTCACATGATCCGGGGTTCAAATCCTCAGGACCATCTACTTGGTGAACAAGAATGAGTTTCATGCTTACCAAGATTGTAGGATTGTAAGGGGGAATTTTGAACTCGAGCACACTAAGCGAATTCAGGGGAACTCTTGGTATAACGGAATCCAAATCTCGCTGTAGTGAGCATATCTAATTGAAATTGCTGTTTGCCAATCAAATGGTGGCCCTAATCTTGTGATTAATGGGAGTCCTTCCCGGACTTGTGCCCTTGTCAATTCCCTTTTCCTTCTTCAATCTGTCGTGTTACTTTGGCCCTTTGTAGTATTCTTTCACGGTCAAACAAGGGAATATTTGAGAGCTAAAACAAAATCATCACGAATAACGTGTGCATCAACTAGACAGGTTAGTTCTAGCAGCTGCTGGGTTTTCGAACTTTGGTTTAGAAGAGAAATGTAGGATCAGCAGGAGGTGTAACTGAAGTTGAACGGTTACTCATAATTTATTTTACAATATTAGTGAAGAGTTTCTCCTGTGAGAAACTGGTGTTAGAATACATATCTTGTATGATGTTAAATTTCAATCGAATTGCGTATCTTACTGCTTGAATGGATTGAATGATTGGAGTGAATAATTAGTTTGGCAAAAAGAATGCGAATCTTATTTATTCGTAATTTTGTATCGTATATGTGGAATAACTGAGAATAGTGTTTGCATTGTCTAGAAAGAGTAAAGAAACAATGGATTGGGCACGCTCATGGAAATCAACTCTCTTCTCACTGCTAGAAGACGTTCCGTCTAGTCTCCGCAAAATTATAGCTTCCATTTCCATTGATGGGACTTCTGCTACTACTCTCATTGTAGACAGGTAGCTAGCCTGCAGATACATGTGTTGTATTTCTACCTTTTTGCTTTTGATTTGATGTCAAGGCTTCACTAAAAATAGGCATCTGAATTCGGTGATGCAGCAACACAGGAGAACCGTTATGGAGACCTTTCCTCTACAATGAGAGCTGCCCTGAAGCTTTACCAACCGTTAGGTCTATTGCTCCTGCAAATCACACGGTCTGCTCTGGTTCGTCTACTCTGTGCAAGCTCGTCTCGTGGTGGGAGAGAGTAGGTTCGCAACGAAAATCTGCTCTGTTGTTGCATCAAGCAGATTGGTTGTTGTGGCTGCTTCATGGAAAATTGGGTGTGTCTGATTACAATAATGCTCTGAAGGTGGTACTTAGTAATTCTATGCATAGTATCTTTTTACTTCTTTAAATGATTGTCCATTAAGTTTTAGCATTTAAGAACTTCTACTAATATTGCTTTTGTGTTATAGGTAGGATATGATCCTGAGCTTGACGCCTATCCGTCATGGCTACTTTCTCAGCCCTATTCACAACTTCTACCTTCAGTCAGGGCTCCCGGAACTTCAATTGGTCATTTGAAAGAGGATATTAGATCACAATTTGGTATGTTTCCTTCAATAAAAGTGGCTGTCAGATTAAACTTTTGCTTTTGTTTGAGAAATTCTTTAATATGCATCTGCATCATTGAACGAGGAGCAATTTAGTCACAGGGAAGCTTTTATAAATCAGAAGTTCTTAAACTATTCAGATCAAAGATTCTGATTTATAGTTTGTAAATACTGTAATGTGTACTTTCTTAATCTAATTTGTTCTAATATTCTCTTATTTTTGTCGTTTTAGGCTTTCCAAAGGACTGTGTGGTATGTGCGGGAACTACTGATAGTATCGCAGCCTTTCTTGCTGCTCGGGCCTCGCAACCAGGGAAAGCTGTGAGTTTTTTATTTCCTTTTTAATAAGCTTGGACAATTCTTCTTGCAATTTTTTGTTTTTTTATTTTTTATTTGTTTTATTGAAATTATAATTAGGCGATAAGTTTATAAGAATTCTTTTTCCTAAGCGTAAGAAGGCTCATTTCTTGTACTGCAAACACCAAATGCAGAAATTACCTTGATGTATGTATTGATTAAGTTCAGAATACCACTTTGAACTGTACATATGTTGCTTTTTTTTAGACGTTAATCTTTTGGTCCAACCAAGCCATTCTATTTCTACAAGTAATATTTATAATGTTGATGAACTAGGTCACCTCTTTGGGTTCAACGCTTGCCATAAAACTACTGAGCACTACTAGGGTTGAGGATGCACGTTTCGGGGTATATAGTCATCGCCTCGACGATAAATGGCTCGTTGGAGGTGCTTCGAATACTGGAGGAGCAGTTCTTAGACAAATTTTCACCGATGAGCAGTTGGCGAAACTGAGTGAACAAATTAATCCAATGGTACCCTCTCCCCTAGACTATTATCCTCTTAAAACGGCTGGTGAGAGATTCCCGGTGTCGGATCCAAGCATGGCTCCAAGGTATGCTGATCAATATCTTCTGTAGACAATATCTAGAACTATAGTACTTCAATGACATGCCAGTTATTAGCATTTCAATTGTGCTTCAACTGACTAAATTCAAAGAAATAACTCCTACTTCCTTTCTTACAACAGGTTAGATCCACGACCAGAAAGCGATGTTGAGTTCTTGCATGGGATTTTCGAATCCATTGCGCGCATAGAGGTATGCAGATTCTCTTCATACTCATTCAAACTTATAGCCAACAGTTAGGAGAATGAAACATGAGTAGTCATGAACATGCTCATTTCACCGATTCAGAGTTTTGATATAGTAAAAAGCTTTCAGAAACAGTCACATATAACTTTTTGTTACAGTAAAAAACTCTCATATAAAGTCACATCTCAACTCAAATCAGCAAAAAAACTCTTAAAAATATCATCTCTTGTCTTGTGATGGCATTTTAGGCAAAGGGTTACAACTTACTGAAGGATCTAGGAGCGGCCAAAGTCGATGAAGTATTCACGGCTGGAGGTGGCGCGAAAAACGAGAAATGGACGAGGATAAGAGAGAGAGTTCTTGGTTTGCCTGTGAGTTGTGCAAGTCAAACGGAGGCTGCTTATGGAGCTGCTCTATTGGCATTGAAGGGTGTTCAACAAAGTCTTATGTGAGAGCAAATTAGATTAAGAAAGTGTTAGTTGCAGCCACATTTGCCTGTTATTGTTAGATACATAACAATTTTGTGAACCGAAGAACAAAGAAAATAAGCAATAAAGTGAGAGAGATTAGTTTGGGGAGCTTTCTTTGGTAGTGTGTTTAGTGACAACCTTTTCAAAAAAAATGTTTCCTACGTTGTCGCTTAGGAGACGTTTGGTTCATGGATTAGAATCATAAGATTAGAACCATTTTCAATTTACGGGTATTTTTTGTGAAAAAAAACTGTAGTGAACCATGAATCATGATTCGAATCGGGGTACGAATCCTCCAACCAAACAACCCCTTAATGTTTTGAATTTTTTTAAATAAAAAATTATATCTTGTTTTATTATTCTTATAATTAAATTATGTAATGTTAATTTCTATTTAATTGAATATAATTGAATTTATCATCAGCTATGGGTTGTTCATTTTCAACCTGAGTTGATAACTTGAGTTTAAAATTAAATTTTATATGAGAGAAAACATTGTAATAAAAAGTTAAACTTAAATTTGTATGTGAGAACATTGTAGCAAAAAAATTTGAGTTATAATAAGATAAGGTATTTATTTATGAATATAAAAATAAAATTTTTAATTTATTGATTCATTATGATTACTGATTAAATTTAATAAGTTTAAATCTATATATAAAATACACAAAAATAAGAAGTAGTAAGTCAATATACGAGTAGTCAACCATTCAAACAAAATACGAGTTGTCGAGTACAACACAATATTAGCAAAATACAACATAGAACACAAATCTATCTAATCTATATCAGTAGCTACACACTCCTATAAAAGGAGAATAAGCGGACGTTTGGTTCATGAATTCAGAATCATTCTCGTTTTATGTGTGTTTTTTATAAAAAAAATACTGTAGCGAACCACAAATCATGATTCAAATCATGGCGCGAATCTCCCTTCCAAACGTCCCATAAGATTCTTGCCCTTGGGACACTAACGAACGGTTTCGTTACCTCCTTCTTTCTTTTCTTTTTTTTTTTTTTACTTCTCACCCACTTTCTATCTTTCTTTCCATTTTTTTTTTTAAAATTCCCTCTTTTCCCTTCTATTCTTTCTTTTTTGTGACTTTTTTTTCATTCTTATCTTTTTTGCCATTCATTTTTTTTCTTTTCTTAATTGACCCTCATGAATATTTTTTCCTCTTTAATAACCCATTTAAATAATTTATTCTCATACATTTTTCTATTTAATTTTTTAAAACCATGTTCTCTTGATAAAATATTTTGTAAGTCCTCTCTTTTTTTTTTTTTTTTTTAAAAATTTCCTTTTTTTTTTGTCTTCCTTTTTTTTTATTCTTATGTTTTGTCATATTATACATTTTTTTTTATCTTCTTAAATTAGACCTTAATAAATATATTTTTCATTCTTATTTATAGAATCTCGTAACTAATTCGCTAAATCGACAGTGTCATTCATCTTCATCTTCATTAGGGACGATGAAGGCAAGTGCACATCATAATAAGACATCATACCCTTGAACATAGCAATCATTTGCACTTGATGTCAGGCCATGTCGTCCACCCATTGGTGCAACTAATGAGAAATTCTTTCTGGCTGCGAATGTGCTACAGATGATGTTTATTATACAAATTTATACATTATTTCGGTAAATAATTAATTTTAATTTTTAAAATAACAAAGGGAACTATTCTTAAAAAAGAAGAAAAAAACTTAATGGTCCTGTTTGTTTCCGTTTTCATTTTCATTTTTCACATTTTGCGAGACTAAAAAATGAAAACGGGAACATAAAATGCGTTTGGTGTAAAAATTTAAAAAAAAACAAAAACAAAAACGTTTTTGTCTTTTCTCAAAAACTGAAAACGAAAAAAATGTGTTTTCATTTTCACGTTTTCGTTTTCTGAAAACGAATTTCATTTTTTTTTTCTTCTCTCTCTTCTCCAGCCGAAGAAGACGCTGGGACATCCGGCGAACCCCCTCTTCCGACTGACGTCCCCACCCCCCGGCGTGTGCATTTAATATATTTAATATTATTATTTATTCAATATATTATTAATTTAAATATTATTACATGTTTTCAAAAATTAAACTACCAAACGCAGTTTCAGTTTTTTTAAAACTGAAATCAATCTCTGAATAAAACTACTAAACGCATTTCAGAAATAATTCCAAAATGAAAATGAAAACGTTTCATTTCTAATTTCATACAGAAAATAAAATTATTTTGGAACCAATTCTAAACGCATCAAATACTTTGTAATATTATTAAAAAATAAAAATACAAAATACAAAAAAAAACTGATTTCAATGATATTTTATATATTTTTAATGTTAAAACTGTAAGTTTAAAGTTTTTTTTAATTTTTTCTATTTTAATTTTTTATTTAAGGGTATATAATTAGATTAAAATTGATGGTCAATTGTAATAAAGTATAAATTTAGATTTAAATTTAACTTAAAAGTATACGTTCAATTCGATCAAAAATAAAAAATATAATAGTTAAATAAAGTAAAACTTACGGGTATAAAATGAGAAATATTTTTTAAAAAATAAATATAAATAAAGATTGAGTTTTTCTTTTTTTTTTTTTCGGCTAGACTAGAGGATAGATGTATTGTCCAAAACAGAAGTATATCTCCATTTTGCGCAGCTGATCCTAAAAAGAGTGGCTGCAACCAATGAGAGAGAGAGAGAGTTAGGGAGCGATTTGAGAAGCAAACTAGACTAGGAATTATGACCGTACCGTTTATCTAGATTAAGGCTGTTTATTTTACTTAATCGGAGTTTAAAATTTAAGTTTTAATATAATAAAAAACGCACAGAAATAATTATATTTAATTTTTTTATTATAGTAAAAAAATTTCACATAAAATTACATCAAAATGTGACAATTCATATCACGTGTCGTGTTTTAATAGTTTCTTTTTAAATTACAGTCAACCCAAATACGATCCGTGATACGAAATTTTTTAAAAACTGTAACACGAACACGACACGACCACTTTACGAATTGACACGACACGAAAATGACCCGTGACACGAAATTAACCCGTGAACCTGAAATTGACATGAAAATTATATATTTTTATTTAGTTTTTTTACATATTAGAAATAACTTAAAATTCATAACACACTAAAATACAATAATATCAATTAAAATTAGAGAGAAAGAGGGAAATATGCCAATACTTGAGATGAATTAAAATTAATAGGCCAATAGTTTACATAAGTTAATAAATATGCCAAATTATTATTTTCGTCCATAACTTGTCTGGTTATGAACCATTACTTGACAAGTTATTCACGATTTTTGTCCATAACTTAGATGGTTATAAACCATAACTTGATAAGTTTGTCCATAACTTATCTGGTTATGAACCATAATTTAATAAGTTATGGCATATTAATTTTTATAACTACAAATTGGCCTATATACTTTCTTAAGCTTTTCATATTGGCCTATTTTCTACTATTTTCGTTAAAATTAAGCAAATAATAGTATAAGATTTTGAGTATAACTATCATGATATCACAAGTTCATAATAAATTAAAAATATGTAATGAAAAATATATGTATTTTTTAATTTTTTACGAGTTTCATGTCGTGTTCAGATTAAACGAGTCTAACTTAAAATTGATTCGTATTTTTCGTGTCAATTTTAAATCAATTCTGATGTGAATATCTTTTTTCTCAATCATAATCTATAAAATTTGTGTCTTTTTTAAATTATATTATAATATCATAATCTATATTATTGATTCTAATTACATATTAATTTAAATTAAAAATTTAAATTAACAAATTAAACTGACCCTAAATTTATCACTTCTCAGGGGCTCCATTTTTCTGAAGTTCCCAAGTTGCCCATCACTCATCACTCCTCACTTTAATTTGTCACTTCTCTCTCACTCTCCGCGACTCTCTCACACATGATCTGACACGCAAAAGTCGGCCGGCGCCAAATCCGTGCATTTATTAATGCCTACATCTATATGTGTAAATTCGTAATCATTATTGATTATAAAAAAAATTCGTAATCATTATCAATTATCAAAACAAAAAAAAAAAAAACAAAGAAAGAAATCGTATCATCATGAAGCTCCCTCGATAAAAGACATACTTTTATTATTATTATTATATTTTTGCTTGCAGGGGTTTAATAGTTAAATAGTACTTAAGACAGAAGAAAATCACAAAATTAATAAGCACAAAAATTATTTATTAAAAATACTTACACCACTCTTTTTTCACTTTCTTTATTATTCAACACGTAGATTGGTCAAATAATATTTATTACTTAAATATAAATTGAGATATATGTGTTAAATAATAAATATAAAAAAATGACATAATAAATGATATTTTTTTTATGAATTATAAAAACACGATATAGTGAGTGTGTTTAGAACTCATTCTAAAATAATTTTATTTTTTGTATGAAAATAAAAATGAAAACATTTTTAATTTTAGACAAAAATTATTTTTAAAAATGCGTTTAGTAGTATCAAGATTCAAGAAAAGGAGGAAATGCCAATATCTGAAGAAAAAAATGTATTATTCATTACACAACAATCTGTACAGTAAACGGCTTAAATAACTCAACTAAGCTCTAACTAATTACAATACTAGCCAATGTCTAATTGACACGTGTACAACACTCTAACAAACTAACTATCTCTAACAGCCCTCCTTAAACTTAAGGTTGAAAGACTTTCAACTTTGAGTTTGTGTCTAAGAACAGGAAACTTAGAGCTTGATATTGGCTTGGTAAGTACATCAGCTGCCTGATCAATAGCTGGAACATGCTTAACAACAATGACTTTCTGTATCACCTTATCTCTTACAAAATATAAATCAAGCTCCACATGTTTTGTCCTTGCATGTAGAACAAGATTGACAGCAAGTTGGACTGTACTGAGATTGTCACACCACACCACTGGTCTAGTCTGAATGTCAACCTTCAATTCCTTGAGTAGAGACAAGAGCCAAGTAACTTCGGCAACTACATTTGCTAGGCTCCTATACTCTGCTTCAGTAGTTGATCTAGAAATAATGTGTTGTTTCTTTGAACACCAAGAGACAATGTTGGACCCCAAGTAAACACAATACCCAGAAGTGGACCTTCTGTCATCCGGGTCTGATGCCCAATCTGCATCACAAAAAGCTAGCGAATTCAGTTGA